TTTGAGAAAAATATAAGTAACTGAAATCAGATTTCCTTTTTCGACAGTTTGGTTTGCAACAGGGTTTTAGTCCTGCTCATTTTATTAACTTTACTTCTTTAGGCAAATTTCACCCTTTTTTTTCTTTTTTTTCGGAAATTTAACGTTTTTTTAAATCTGTTCGGTTTTAGCATAACCGTAGATCCTTGCCATGCAGAGGTTGGACTATCTAATGAAAATTTAGTTTAATTTAGGCTTTAATAATTTTTCCTGATTGTTCAAAAAGGTGGCTATTTGTTGTGAAATTCTTCGTGGCAAGGAACGCAAAATTATGCCTGCCGTTGGCAACAGAATTGAGCACCTTACTGGTGACAGTGCGATTTAGCTCAGTTCCGCCCCCAGTTTTGATGGGTATGATTGATTTTGATTTGTTTGTTCAGTTTTGATTGTTTTAAATGTATAATTTGATGAAGAGCACTCCAGGGGGGGACGGGTCTGTGGGTCTCCCAACCATCTTCCCCTACCACCAACTTCTCGAGAGAACTTTTGACTCGCCGCATATTAAAAGTGCCCCCACGCCGCACGGACACTATACATTTACAAACATCCATGCCTGCTTCGCTATTCAAACCCGAGCTCTTAGGCTAACGTTATCCCGGTTGAGCAGCGCGTCGCTATTTGTTGCAACTCTTGATAAATCGCACGGACGTTAAATGCATGGTAGTATTACGTAACGTAACGGTACAAATGATTTAGAAAGACTCCATTGTAGATTTTTCGTATATTAGTCTTGTTTATTTTCTAAACTTTTGCCAAACATTGAAATTAAAGCTAGAATATTAAATTTGTGGAAATACTCATGTACAAAGTAATAAATATTTGAGATGCAGTAAATAATTTTATTTACCATTGAAACAAAATTTAACAATTTCTTCTGGAAACGCAGGTTACAGTACGAAAGCAGTATAGTCACACACATTAAATTCACTTGTGTTCGAAGTAAAAGAATATATGTTAATTATATTCTTTAATTTTGGATACAGTCACCAAAATAAAATAATTTTAAACATGTCTTCTACAAAGCATCACTGTTAATATCAATTGTTTTACACATTGTAACTTAATTTGAGGAAATACATATACGGATTAGCAATATTTAAATTCATATAAATCTCAAACTTTAACAAAAAGAAAACATACTTAAAACAGTTAAATTACAGAATTATATGAAAAACATTTCTTTTCTGTATCAGGAATAGGTATTATAATAATATATATGTTCTTTAATATAGTCTTACTCAACAGAATCGAAAAGAAATTCGCGATGTGTGTATATAGTGTAAGTAAGCGGGTTCTAATGTATGTTTTTTTTTTTTTTTTTTTAATTTTTTATTGTGCTAGGTGTATATACTAGCTCTGTCTTATATTCGGAGCAGTTAAGGTAATGTCATTAGGTATAGAAAGTACAGGAAGACCCACTTAAGCGGGGGATACGTCCATCCAGTAGAGCTAATGCGAAACGCGCTAAACGAGCTATCTTTACATGTAAATATTGGGGTTAGGGAAGATGGTGAAATTGGTTAGGTATTAAATTTAAAAAGTATGTTTTTTAATAAAAATAAAACCAAACATTTATTTCTTAAGCCCAAATTAAACCACATATTATTTCTGCAAAAATAAAAACAAAATCTAAATAACAAAACGAGTATTCTTAAAAAAAAAAAATAAAAAAAAATAAAAATAATAAAATTCTCATCATTTAGTTAGCATTCCGCGTTTTCAGTGTTCTGCCTTTTGTGACAAAAGCTCTAATGTTGTTTTCCTTTTTCTTTTGCGTGTTCTCTTAAAAGTTCTTCATAAACGATAGAGCATCTCTAACCACACCTTACTTTTGAGCTCCTGTCAAATTCGGATCATTTCAATGAATTGATCCATTTATTTCAGTTATGGTAGAAAACTCCTTTTTACAAACGCCATCGAAAGTTCTTTGTTTCTCTGAATCACTGCTGTCAACACTTTTTTTTCTTCTGTTCAGTTAATTCCTTGAGCTCATCATTAGAAAGACTAGCCACTGCTTCTTGAATTATTTCTTCGACATCTTCCCGTTACCCCTTCAAATATGTCTGTTACATCCGACCCAACAAGAATACAAGTACACTTTTCGGATATGTATTTTAAACCTATGCTGAAAATTTCGGGGAATCCCGTATGCTGCGAGCGATTTCGTGGAATCCCCGGTGAAATAAAAGATCGCTAAACCGAAACAGCGTTAAGCGGGGTCTTACTGTATATGTATGTAACAGAAGTTGGATGTATGTCAGCAAAGGTATAACAGAGCAGTTAAATACTAATGTCTGCTTTGTTTAGCCATGTACAATGCTATTTTTGAAGATTCAATAAACACTGGACCCGGGCACTTTGGACGGGAATCTACCCGTTGGCATTTGGTTCGCGGAACTGCCAACCGGAGGGTCCAGGCGTTGTGTTTGGGCGCCTTATGCAAGTCTCCCATGTGGCCTCTCTGGCTTTAAGCTGGATAAGAGAAGACGTGGCCCTATATGCTAATTAACTTAATAGTAAAAAGGTGGTGGCCACGCCCTCCGTAACTATCACTATCACTATCTTTATCTATTTTCAGATACATTGTATAAAAATATTTGGTGATTGTAAAATTATTATAATAAGTTAAAGATATTTCTTTACTGCTAAACATTTTGGCATCCCTCTGCTACAGGTCCCGCGACTCCCAAGAGGGTCGCGACCCACAGTTTAAGAAACCCTGGTGTACACCATAGCATTCATTTAAGAATAATAGCTCTCAGTTTTAATTAATATTTAAATGCAAAAGCTTAATAATTAGTTAACCTAAAAGGGATTGATTTATTGAACTAGTTGATTTTGATTTCTACTACATCGTATTCATTTGTAATTAACTGTGATCAAAAGTATGGAAGAAGCATTTGTCAGTTACGCATTAGTAACATTAGCAAATCAAGCGAAATATTTCTGACAAGTTGTTCCCATTTTATAGTAGCAGCGAAACGTAATTAAAAGTTATTAACGGTTGGTTGCCCAAAATAAATTAATGGTATTGTGGATTGCAAAATTTAATAAACTCTATCGCTTGTTTATCCTAAATATATCTTTTAGTGGCCCCACATTACTGGTATAAATGTTTATATCTCAAAACAGTATGCAACTATGGCTGAATCGTTGATGTAGTGCTAGCGATCATTTGTAATAAATACATCATTATTTTTCCGCATTTCATTTAAACTTACTTTCTCGACTTTCATTAGAGATATAGAATTCATCCAATTAATTCAGTTCTCACTGGAAAGGCAAAAATACATAAAACCTCAAAATATCTCGATTAAAAATTGAAAAATATAGAAAAATATAGAACATCAAATAAAGTTAAAAAATAATAATAATTACAATTAAAATTACAGTTTCAACGCGAAAACCAGCGGACTAAAAGCCAGATTTTTCGGTGCATAAAATTCCCAGTTTACTTTTGGTCTCACCCGGTAAAAAGATGTTGGAGGTGCAGAAACTGACTTAATTCACTACTCTGGTTATGTTTCAAATGTAAACAAATATGACTGCTATGGTAAAAATAATTAGCCTTAGTCGCTCTTAAATAACTTTTAAATTGTTGATAATTCTACTATTGCATTGAGATTAACTAAAGGCATAAAAACCTTAACCGGAAGATAAGAACAACATAATTCAATCATTTTTAAAGCAAAAAATGTCCAATTTACAAACATATAAGAGTAAAGAAACGGAGCTCACTGAGCCGAGTAACAGAGTGGATACATATATATTTCATAATTACAAAACAATACTTTTGAAAACAACATTCAAACATGCCCAGCATTTTCGTATTAAAATTCTTTGTTGCATTTATAAGATGATTTCAAATTTATTAATTATGAATTTCAATTTTTGGTCTTTGTGAAATATTTGTTCTAAATTTCTTAGTTTATATATATGTATATTAATATACTTTTGGTGCGGCCGATTGCAACCAAAAAAAGAAGGTGCACATGTACATGTTATAGCAGTCTCTAATACAAAATTTCAACGCTATGAGACTATTCGTTTTTGAGTTATGCGAGATACGTACATACGTAGGTATAGACGCCTCGATAAAATTCTCTTTTGAATCCATTTTAAATCAGTTTTATATTTCGTTTTGGAAAAAAAAAGAGTTCTTTATTCTGTCCTTACGTAGAGATGTCATGCAAAAACATCGTTACATTGCATTGGATAGCGATCAGAATGGATATTTTTGCAGAAATATGGTCCCGGAAATTTTCGTGATTACAATACTTCCTTTGAGTCGTACAAAGGAAGTAGAAATAATGCATCGAAATTCCTGCTTTCATACCGCATCACTCGAAAAAGTGAGTCCGAAAATGTTTTCAGAGTTTTTTAATTAATATCTCGGCTGTCGATGAAGTCGTACGAAGATGGGAACAGTCGAAATGGCTTCCCACGAATTTTTGAAATCGGGAATAATGAATTTAATGTTTGTCAATGCTATTAAATCGTAAAACTGAGAAATTTTTTATTTACAAACTCTAGGATATAAAAGCGAGCAGTGGCAACAACTTTTGAAATAAAGCAGATTTTCGTATCCAGCTTGCGAGACTGTTGCCACTCGGAAAAATGAGGATGAAATTATTGTTTTCCCGAGTTTTTAATTAATATCTCTGATTTTAGCTACTTTTTTCTGGAAAAAAGTGAACGTTGACCTTTTCGAGAACCCAGAAAAGAATTGTAGAAAGCTTGGTGACGACAGCTATAGTAGTAACTGAGTTTTTAGAGGACAAACAAACATACTTTCTTAGTTATATATATAGATTATGTTGTCTATTCGGTTGAGATATTTTAATATTCTTCTTTTTAACTTAGAAAAATTATATTTCACCATCTAGCTTGTTAATTTAAAACACAGTTATTCTGGGGATTAGAAAAATTCTAACAAATATAAACATGAATGTTAAACTTACAGAGCTTCTAGCGATGTCAGAATTTCTAAAGCGTCAGCTGGGACTTCGAATAATTTATTGTTCTGCAAGGACCTGGAAATAAATATTTTTAAAGAAAAATAGGAGTATTTATACAAAACTGTTACTTCATAGTTAAAATACAAACTTGTTTTAGATATTTAAAGAAAAAAAAGAAGACAAAATACGCGACATAAATGCAATGAATTAAAGGAAAAAGTCAAATACATTTGAAACTTAAAAATGGAGCACACATTTTGCATATAATTCCTAGTTATAAGATAAATAAATGTTAGTTATAAGTTAATTATAAAATTGACTGTTAGTTATAGCATGGACACAAAATGAGTTAATGATGAATGATTGCTGGAAGTCAAAGTTTTAATAGATAAATTGTTCTTTTTCGAAGGTAAAACCGGTAATCTATCCTGTGAACCTTTTGGTATATGCAGGGTTTAATGGAACTGCTATTTAGGATAAATACATCCACCATACTGTACCCTCCACTGGCCGAAAGATCCCCTGAGCTCGCCAACAAATATCCTTTTATTAATCAAAATCAAAAATACATATCATTAAATTTACATATTTACATAAAAATTTACATAAAAATATCCTATTTAGGATTACGACATTTTAAAACAAACATTTACACAACTTGTATTTCATACATAAATAAAATCATTTATACAATTTGTATTTCATAAAATAATTAGATCATTTTCTTTAATAAAAAAATTATTTTATATTTAAAACAGAGACTAAAATATCTTTTCTTACAAATTCAATAAACAAACATTAATCTCATTAGTAACTTATTACATTTTCAAACAAAAATACAAACAATAATACAAATCTTTTGCATATTTTAATTTAATAGAACCATTAACCATAATCAGTTCTTCTAATCAATAAATCATATTGTCTTTCTAGACATTCAGAATTTTTATCTAGACTAGAATGTCTAGAATCTAACCGAAGTTTATATTTTTTGTTGGCTTCTTTACAATTTATGCATTCTGGTTTTTCCTTACAATCCCAATGGTTGTGAACCTTTCGAGCACATCTTAGCACAAGTCTGACTATTTTATACAATTTTTATGAAAATGGCCAAATTCTTGGCACTTGAAGCACTTAACAACATTCAAATACTCTTTAATCGATATTCGGAACCATTTTCAAGTTAATTTTTCCTTGATTTATAATAGATTTGAATTTAGCAGGCTGAACTTCAGCCACCCAATGCAACTTATTATTTTTTGCTTTGATTGAAAACAAAAGTTCAAAACCTCCATTTTCAAAAATGTGATTTTGTTTAATCACCGATTCTTGAATCTCTTTCTTTTTTAAATCAGCTTCTATATTATATAATATTATCTTTGGACTTTTTTTTTTTTTGGAGCCTTTGTATCAACACCTTCTTTCAACAATATATTTGATCTTATTTCTTCTTGTAAAATTTCAACTTCTTCTCTATTTACACTTTCTATAACAATTCCTCCGTTGTTAATTTTTCTCACATTTTTTATTCCAATCTTCAGCTGAGCCGGATCTATTGCTTCAACCACCTTCATTTTCACTTCTTCAGATGAAACCCCTTTCACCTTAGGGTATAACAATGCTACATGTTCTTCTTTTTTCTTAAATTTATCCTTCTTTTGAATCAATTTCTTTTCAACTCTTTGTTCTTGAACGATTTCAGCAAAGGACTTTTCACTAAAAGTTTGTGGTTTCTTTACCACATCTAATTTTCCTTTCAGGTTCTCTGTTTCCAATGCTTGTGAAACAATATAACCAAACAGCATTTCTTGTGCTTTAAAAATCCTCTTACGAAGAGGTATTGTAACTCTAGAGGCTATCAGGTTCTGTGTTTCTCCTTACTTGCTTTGGGAACATGCAAAGACCTGACTCGGAACAGGGAGCTTACTAAAGCTATGTTCAATAAATGTGGGAAGTAGACAAGATACACAGGAAAGGTATACGAAACCCTTTATTTTTCACTCTTTACAATAATTTCCGGACTTCGGAATACCGAGACCAACACTTGTGTCTTGAAGGTAAGATATAAAAATATTAACTAAATTCTAACGTAACTTTGGAATAATAAACAAGGGCCTACGTGGAAGATTGAACCGTATATTAAAGGAAGCCGTATGTAGTACAGAGAACTGTTAACACTACAATACGTTTAAAATTATTAAGAGATTAAACCTCTGGCCTGGAAGGCAACCAGCAATCGAGTAAAAACTGCTAAGGCAAGCGGCCTGCTTCTACTAACTCCTTCCTCTCTCTCGCTGGCAAAAAAGCCACAACTTAAGTAATTGGCGTTCGCCAGACAAATTTGCATAAATAAAGTTTTAAGCAATTCTGGCCGGAAGTAGAAAATAAGAGTGATAGTAAAGATTTAAAATAAAATAAACGTTAGTAAAACTTAAGATCCTTACATGGCATCTTCTAGACAAGTTTCTAGTTCACTAATAAGTGAACGAGCCTCCTCAATAAGTTCTGATTAAACAGCAGTCTCTGTCTGTACACTTTCATCCATTATCAAGCACTCTATGTGGAGTTTGGATTAGAACTCCCCCCTTACGAGGAGGAGCCCCCAGACCACGACAAGGTTCCAAACTCCTGGGAAGTTTTCTTCAATTAGCTTATCAAAATTTGCAAGTAAATAAAATACTTTCAATAAATAACGCTTCCAATCACTTTATAAGAGCTAATAACTTCCCCTGGGTTTTTTTTTCGAAGGTAAAGGCGGAGAGGTTTATTACCTGGCATTTCAGGACAGGATATAAATTTTATCTCTTCGAAAGACAAAAGAAGGGTCGAAATCGTTCGCAAGGGTGTTGGTGGCTCATTTGCTAGGAGGGGGGGGGTCAAGATGACAAGTCTTGATGACAGCAGGTTTTTTTCCCTTGCTTTAAGTCAGAACATAATTTTACCTTTCAAATTGTAATATTTGGGAAGGGGAGAAGCTAGTTTCCCTCGAACAGAAAGGGCACGGATCAGATTTTGCCTAGATTTCGAAGAGTTAAGAACAGAAAAGAGAAACGAGGCTTTTGCCTCCTTGAGGGGGGGATAGGTCTGTTAAACGGTCGTGTCCGCGAATATGTTTGTCATTGCGACAAACCTTCTCAGGTGTCAGCAGCAATTGAGAAACCATGAGCTCTACTCTTGCAGGCTGAAAATTCGACTTTTCCAGTATTTTTGGTTCGGTGCCATAAAGGGACCTTCCAACTAGGGTTTATCTGAGTTAACAGAGACAATTGACGTAGCCGACCCATCTCCAAAAACAGTTTTTGCCCATAAGGCAGAAAGTTGAAAAATCTGAACTGCACTAGTCGACACATGGAACTGGCTCCGTTAGTTCAGATAAACCCTAGTGTGAATGGCCCTTTCTTCGAATACTCGAGACCTTACTTTTAACATCTTAAGAGGGCTCATACACCTTAAAACCCTTGTAATCTTCGAATATGTGACTGTTGCAAGAATTAGGATATTTGATTTATTTTAAAAGCAATTACTTCCAAAGTTTCACAGCTGACTACGTAATATAGCTGCTTTAGAAACTAGTAACCGGAAGGTTTTGTATTGCCACAAATATTTTTGTAATTTAATCCGTTTTGTGACAAAATGTTTCGTCATATTTCCACTCTGCGCGCATATTTTAAAAATGGCTAATGGTACATACTTGAAATTGGATGGAATTCTTTATATGGACACTATATTAAAAAATTTTATGCACGAAAACGTTACAGATTTTTTAAAAATAAAATAAATTTTATAAACTCAACTCCAAATAAAATAAAAATTTAAAATGAAATTCTCAAAATTTTTGGTTCACAGTACTTTCCAAATGTTATAAAAGCTATATATTTAATATGAATTTAAATTATGCAACAGAATGTTTTAAACTGTGCGCGCAAGGTGGAAACATGACGAAATATTTTGTCACTAAGCGGATTAAATTATAAAAATATACGTGGCAACACAAACTTTCTGATGACTATTGCAGAAAGCAGCTATGTTATGTAGTGAGATGTAAAAAGTTGGAAGCAATTGCTTTTAAAATAAATAAGTTATCCCAATTCTTGCAGTACTCACATATACAGAGATCTTATGAGTTTTAAGGTGTGTGAGTCCCCAAAGGCCGTTCCCACTGGGGTTTATCTGAGCTATCGGAGGCAGTTTCATGTGTCGTCTACCTCCGCTATGCCTGCAGTTCAGATTTTTCAACTTGCTGTCCTATGGGGGAAAAAATAAGTTTTGCAGATGGGTCGGCTATGTCAACTGTCTCCGTTAGCTCAGATAAATCCCAGTCTGAACGGGAAGTACGGAAGCTTAGGCGTCAGCGGTCCGTTTGTAGATTAGAGGAAAAACAATGTGTCTATGGAAGGAGAAAAATTACTTTCATTCTCGATTCTAGGTGTTCTTGTGGAATCAGCCATTAGCCCAGCGATTAGATGTCAGCTGAAACAGAGTGGAATGTGCGGGGAGATTGGTACTGAACACTAAACAGGTGGGCCAATTCTAGTATTTCGTTTATGGATAATGTTCCCAAATCAAGGGTACAGGGTTTAATAATAGGATTATTAATGCAGGTACAGAGGGTTGTTCGCACATTTTTTAGACGATTTTATTAGACGATTATGCTTATAAAACTTTGGCATAATTTGAGTCATAGAATTAAAAAATGGAAAAAAATGGCATGAAATTGGCAATAATTATGGCCAGTTTATTAATTAATATTTTATAGATTATTATTTTATTTTAAAAAATGGAAATAATTTCAAAAACAAAAGTCCGATTTTGTGTCAGAATACCTATATTAGAACAATTCATAGTAATTTGTAAAAAGAAAACGCTCAATATACCATTTCCAAGGAAACCAAATGATTTTCTTGTGATTTTGAATTAACTTTAATATTCTAATATGTTTACTTCTGTTTTTGAAATCGAAATGAGAGTGTAGGAGATATCTTCTTCTAAAATAAGCATTTCGTTCAGATTCATTGTGTTCTTAATAGAAACTTTAATTTTAAGGTTATTTGCTATTTTGTTTAACAAGATTCTTGGATTGTTTAACTAGATTTTGGATTGAGTATTAATTTTGACTTACGGTTCGAATCTAGCAAATAATTTGATACTTACTTGGAAGTAAGATGAGACACTCTCTTAATTGTAGTTGTTGTTAATTGATGATAGATTGGTTTATCCCTTGATAATTCGATTAATCTGCGCTCAATGACAATAATTACTTTTTGAATATTTAGAATTTAATTTTGGTGTTTTTGCAATTTAAAATTTTTCTTAGCAAATTTTAAACAAGAAATTCAAATTGCTGTTTAAAACACTAATTTAAATTCTGACCAAAAAACAATTTTTTTCCCTTCATGGTTTTAAACTGAATTTGGGTTCCTTGGAGATGGTATATGGAGAGTTTTCTTTTTATAAATTATTATGAATTATTAGTTTATTATTACTTTGCAGCTTTAGCGCAAGTCATAGGCTTTTTAATTTACTTTTAATTATTTTATTTTGAATTTATATTTGAACAATGCTATATATATATATTATATATATTATATATATATATACAGTGGTGGCCAAAATTGTGGACACTTTTAGAAATTTTTATGTTTTTGAACTTCGTACGCTTATCGAAAACGTTACGTTTCACAAAATGCAAACTTGTATATATCATTTTAAAGAGAATTTATTACTGAATTCAATACAAAATTCAATTATTTGCAATACAAAAAAAGTTAAACGATAATAGTTATCGATATACATCAGACAGTGATGATTGCAGTGAGTTATCAGTACTTCGTAGGATACCCTTTATTTTTGATTACAGCTTCACATCGACGTTTCATGGAGCTGACAAGAGTTTTAAGCTTCTCTTTCGTTAGATGCCAGGAAACAATTAAAGCCTCAATTAGTTTCCTTTTATTTGATGGGGGCCTCATTCGGACAAGAGTTTTCAAACGGTGCCACAAATTTTCGATAGGATTGAGGTCAGGACTGTTTCCTGGCCATGACAACAATTTAATGCTCTTTGTACGAAACCACTCTTTCGATCTTTTGGCCGTGTGGCAAGGAGAAGAATCCTGCTGAAAAATAAACGAAGCATTGTTGGGAAAGAGATCTCTGATGGAAGGTAGAAGTTTTAGTTCTAGAATAGTGTCGATGTATTTTCTGGCATTCAGTGTCCCATCGATGACATGAAGGTGACCCATACCATCTGCTGACATGCATGACCAAATCATAACACTAACTGGGTTCTTCACAGTTGCTTGAATGCAGTCAGGATGTAGCTATCTCCCTATTCTACGTCTACATATTTTTTGCCCCCTCACTACCGAATAACGATATCTTAGTTTCATCACTCCATATAACATGTGACCACTGATCATCTGTCCAATTAATGTGTTCCTTTGCCCAGTGTAGTCTTTTTTTTTCGTTGCTGAAAATTAAGATAAGGCTTTTTTCGTGGAATTCTACCTCTCAGTCCAACATCTGTTAATCTTCTCCTGATTGTTCTTGAACTGACAGAAACACCAGCATCATTCAGATCACTTATGGCAGCTGATGACATTTTTCTATGTTGGAGACATAGTCTTTTTATTCTTCTGTCATCAATAGATGTGGTGTACATTTTTCGGCCTTTTCCTTCTTTGTTTTTTATTGAATTTGTCTCCTGATATCGTAAACAAAACTTTCGGACTCCAGATGTAGTTACTGGATCACCCACCTGTCTTGGAATTTCAGCATAGGAAACACCACTTTCTCGTAACACAATAATATTACATCTCTTTCTAGATGTCCAATCTACTTTTTATTTGATGTCATTGCTTCTTGACTAAATATTAAAAATTTTTAAAAAAATTCCTGCTTGTAATTGCAGTGTATAAGAAATAGGTCCTCCTTCTACAGAACAAAGCAAAATAATGAATTGTTTCAAGTGTAAACATGATGTCAGCTTCTACTGGCAGTTACTAACATTTAATTGGTTCTCAGAACAAGAACAGTGATTGGCCATGTAAGTGAACCATTACAAACCACTTCCTAACTGTGTTTTTTATTTATGTTAAAGTACATATATTTATTTATGTTAAAGTACATATTTGTATCGCAAATAATTGAATTTTGTGTTTTGTATTGAATTCAGTAATAAATTCTCTTTAAAGTGATATATACAAGTTTGCATTTTGTGAAACGTAACATTGTCTATAAGCATACAAAGTTCAAAAACATAAAAATTTCCAAAAGTGTCCACAATTTTGGCCACCACTGTATATATATATATAATGCATATCCTAAGTCACGCTTTCAAGACATGAAAACCGCAAGTTGAATTTCCTCAATCTGCTCATTAGAACGGGAGATATAGAAGTGTCCCTTTTTTTTCTTTCGCAGTGTACAATAGAACTTTAAGTTTTTCTATAAATGTATAGAGCAAGAAAAGAAATTAAAGATTCTTCCAACTATAAAAAATATTCTACAGACAATTTTTACTCAAGCTAAAAACTCAGCATTCTTATTAACTTTACATTAGGTGTCGATTAAAAATGCTTGAGTAGTCAACATAACAGTGAGAGAATTTAGAATACTTACAAGGAACGAAGTTTAGTTAACCCTGAGAATGCAGAAGTTGCAACGTAAGAGATGTTGTTGTGAGCCAAGTTCCTGAAAAATACAAAAAGCAAATATTATGATCTGCTAAGTGCTTTCCCAGCAAATAATATACACATAGATCTAATATCACGCGATACACCTATCAAGAAGCCCGTATCAATACATCTTTACTCTCTTCAATAAATTAACTGCCTGTTTTTTCCGATGCATCTTGTGCAACTGTCACGCAGTTATCTGTAATGTAACAAAACCGCACATTATTCTGAGTTTCGAATCTTGCGTGATGTAAAGCTGAAATGGGTTTGCAATTTGAATAAAACACTCGTGAAAAAATTATTGTTGTTCACAAAACTTTGTTTTTGCTTAATTTTTAAAGGACGATGAATCTAAAAAAAAAAAAAAAATCAAAATTCGAATCAGATTTCTTTTTTCTTTAAATTTTATCTTTTTTCATCAAATCGCTTCACTTTGAATGATTTCATTCTTTTAGAAATGTGGTTTTGGCAACAGTTTTTCATTCAATGCTTTGTATACTGGACTGCTGACTGTTGAAAATATGAGATAAAATATTATTAATGATACGCGCAACACGCACGACACAATCGTCTTATTCTGACGCGCATGTGTCTCGCGAGGCACAACAGAAATAATTTCCTTTCCCCCCTCTCTCTCTTTATTAGCTAATGGCAAAGAGGTTTATATATTTTTAATTATGTCATCCACAAAGCACAATTTTGACCGGTTATCGCTTTCTGATGATAGTTTCATTCTTTTAGAAATGTGGTTTTGGCAACAGTTTTTCATTCATTGCTTTGGATACTGGATTCTCTGACTGTTTCCTCTTGAAAATCATGAGATTTATTGCTTATTTAATTGTATTTTTTTTATATTATGTTTTAATTACATAAAAAGGTTTTCATGATTGTTTTTAGGAAACATTCTTAACTCTCTTTATAAAATTTGAATTCTTAAGATTTTGCAACGGGAAATTGGTTAATTCATTTATTAGGATAATTAACATTTGTGTTAAGGGATAGTGTTTACTTAATGTAATTTTTTATACTTAATACATTTTTATTAAAATTCCTGTTTTATCTTTTTTTTTTTTTTTTTTTTTTTTTTTTTTAGATAATGTTCTGCACAGTAAAATTCTATGCAGTTTTTACTTCCTTGTACTAAGTAAAAAGGAAGTATTGTAATCGCGAAAAGCTTCAGGCAGCATAATTCAACGAAAATATCCATTTTGACCGCTTTCGAATGCAATTTAACCATGTTTTTGCGTGATATCTGTACGTAAGGACAGAATAAAAGACTCTTTTCCTACAAAAAAACTAAAAAACTGCTTTAAAATGAATTCTGAGGAGAATTTTTCGTGGCGTCTGTACGAACGTATGTACGTACGTATCTCGCATAACTCAAAAACGAGAAGCCTCAAAACGTTGAAATTTTGTATATAAGACTACTATAACATGCAGATGTGCACCTCGTATTTTTGTTTCAATCGGCCGCGCCAAACGTATATAAATATATTTAGAAATATATCCACTCTGTTACCCGGCTCAGTGATCTTACTTTCTTTACTCTTGTATGTTTGTAAATTGTACATTTTTTGCTTTAAAAATGACTGAATTATGTTGTTTTTATCTTCCGGTTAAGGGTTTTATGCCTTTAGTAAATCTGTATGCAATATTTTTAGAATTATCAACAATTTTAAAATTGTTTAAGTGCCGCTAAGCCTAATTTGATGGCGGCCATTGCTCTTGTTTACATTTGAAACAGCTGAGTAGCGGATTTGTTGCCAATCTAAAGAAACTTAGCTTCGCAACAACAAAGATAACTCCTTCATTTATTATTTAAATCATGCTTAATCCTTTCTGGAATTTTTTCGAGGAAATAAACGTTTAAGATTTACTTCGTAAATTTTAATACAGATATTTTGAGTTTTTATGTATTTTTGCCTTGTCGCGAAGTGAAAACTGAATTAATTGAATGAGAAATACTCAATCGTCTGTAAAACACTGTTTCTTTTTTGTTTTGTTTGCTTAATTTCTTTTATACATCGTTCTAGCTGTATTTTAGTATTTGAATAGAACATGTGGTAACGATTCGATAATTCTTTAAATGATATAAATTTTGTGCATTTTGAGTTATAATATGAACGAAATATAATAGTCTTAAGTAAAGCTAGCGCCAGAGTGTCGCTATGGTAGACAAAGTGAATTTTAAAGAATGCATTTATTCTATTGTGGTTTATGCGCTGTCGGCGAAGTAGGTGTAATTCAATCTAATAAGTTTAAATGAAATAAATGCAAGAAAAAATGCGTATAATTTAATATTCCCTACAAGGATGTCATGTGGTGTACACATCCAGATTTTTAAATTTAATGTTTGGTCTTCTTTTTAGGCATTTTTCCAATTCATTTAAAAGCTACACGAAGATTTAGTCCTAACATATAATTTAATCAACTTTCCGCTGTCTTCTTTCGACAAACGTCCAGTATCCAAGCGAAACTATAAATTTAAAAAACGCACAGAATTATCGCCTTCGTTTTTCGGAGTGGCAACACTGCTTAAAATGCTGATATCAGCAACAATCGCTGCGTGCCTTTGTTGCTGCGTGTGATTGATTTGATGCGATTTCATCACCAAATATACGATAAAACTCATTCGAATCTTGAAAATATCGCTTCGAGGTGTACTGGCTCTTGCCTAGATGCACCTACCTACCAAATTGCGTAGCCCTGGGTCTATTAGCTTACGCGCTGCATGAACGAAAGTCACACACACTCACAGACAGTTCCATATATAGAGAGAAATTACTAACAGAACCTGGAAAATTACAGTGGACTCATTAAGATCATTACATATTTTTCTTTTTCATAATTATTTTAAGTGTCTGGCCGCGCAAACGGTTAGTGTATCAAATTAAACAGACGATCCAGGCTTATTTACGTAATTTACAACTGCACTTACGTAATTTATGTTCTACAACTGGAAATTAAAATTTCAGCGTCATTTTCTTTCATCTTATTGCTAAATAAGAGACTGGGTTTAATTTTTGAAGTAGAAACGCATCTATCTATACATCCACATTTCTCAAGAGTTGTTTATTCTGCGGTTTTTTTTTGCTGTGTTTGACTCCATGACATTTACGTCATTCGAATACCCAATCCTTTAATCTAGCGGCAGAGAACAGAGTTGTCACTAGCCTTTGGCATTTCAATAATCCAAAGAAATCTGAAAGCAGTTTAAAGTAAATAGTTTTATTTTCTTGAGTAAATAGTTTAGATTTTAAAAGTCTCTTAGGAGAATGGAGGTAGTTTAAATTCCGGAATCAAGTAACCAGAAACATGGAACACCATCTGATTTAATTTCTGTAACACTTTAGAGGTTGATTATGCAAATAATACGATATTACTTACGTACTCGAAATAATTCCTTGTTAAATATGAGGCATCCATAAGAAACAAATTTTTCTGCGAACGTGAATACTCATTTTTTCCATTGGTAATTTATTTTCAGTGTAACATGCGTCTGATTCTCATTTGCGTTAACAGTTTACGTAAAGCTATATATGCAAATTTTATTTCAACACTAGCGGGCTGCAGCCAAAACAACATTTATAAGTTCTATGTACCCTTGAAAAGCAAACGTATAAAAACATTTCAATATGAATGAAATCAGTTCATTCTTTACGAGCAACAACCAATTCGTGAATAAATCTTTTATTGCCAAACCAGGAAACAAAAACTTTCGACACTTCAGGTTGTAGAGATATTAGGTTAATTTGAAACAGATGATGTGAAAAATGAGCAAAGCCTTCGCCGGTAATCGAACCACGGACCTCTGAAATACGCGCATAGCGTGCTGACCACTACACTACGAAGGCACGCTAAGAAGGCGGGTGAAATACCTTACATACTCCCCCTTTTAAAGGGCGACTGGGGTTTAGGAGAAACAGTAGCCAAATCCTGGGTGTGAAGAATCATCATCCACCACACGTTTTAGTTCGGGTGCCAGTGTAGAGACATTAATTTTTTTAAGGGGACTCATACACCTTAAAAACCATAAAATCTTCGAATATGTGACTCTTGCAAGAATTGGGATAACTTATTTATTTTAAAAGCAATGACTTCCAACTTTTTACAGCTGACTACATAATATAGCTGCTTTCTGAAATAGTCATCAGAAAGTTTGTGTTGCCACAAATATTTTTATAATTTAATCTAATTTGTTACAAAATTTTGCGTCATGTTTCCACCTTGCGCGCACAGTTTAAAAGAATCTGTTGCATAATTTAACTCCATATTTAATATGTAGCTTTTATAACATTTGGAAACTACTGGGAACCAAAAATTCTAAAAATTTCATGTTAATTTTTTATTTTATTTGGAGTTGAGCTTATAAAATGTATTTTATTAAAAAAAATCTGTAATGTTTTCGTGCATAAAATTTTTTAATATTAAAATATTCGTGACATTTTTGGTTCAGTTAGAAGATAGTGCCCATATAAAGAATTCCATCAAATTTCAAGTATGTACCATTGACCATTTTTAAAATATCATGCGGGCAATGTGGAAACATGACGAAATATTTTGTCACAAAGCGGATTAAATTACAAAACTATTTGTGGCAACACAAACTTTCTGGTTAGTAGTTCCTAAGGTAGGTATATTACGTAGTCAGCTGTAAAAAGTTCGAAGTAATTGCTTTTAAAATTAATGAAATATCCCAATTCTTGCAACAGTCACATATTCGAAAATCATAAGGGGTTTAAGGTGTATGAGCCTGAGCCCCCTTAAAGCAGGAGTGATGAAAAAGTAGCAACGCCTTCGCCGCGAAGGGGATCACGGACCTCTGGAATACGAGCCCAGCGTGCAGACGACTGCACTACGAAGGCATGCTAAGAAGCCGGGAGAAATACCTTATAACATTTCAGTATGAAAGACATCAGTTCATTCTTTCCAAGCAACAGCCAATTCGAGAATAATTTTTTATTGCCAAACCAGGAAACGAAAACTTTCGACACTTCAGGTTGATACGTATGGCGT